GAGTACTTGTGTCTTGCACTTCGTCTGCACCTCGTACTTCATTGTCCTCTCCTATACCCCAAGTATTTGTGTCTTGCACTTCGTCTGCACCTCATACCTAGGTGTTACTCTTATTCTCCCTTCCTATAACAACAGCCTTTCGACACCCACAGCTAACCCGGAGTGTCAGCCGAGCACGGTGACTACTGTACGACAACACGCACGTGAATACCTAGACAGCAGGCACCACCTCCTCATATTCATCTTCGTACACATAGTTTCACATTTACCCATTTACCTAATATCATTTTCTTTCCTGTGTTACGACAGAGCACGCAAATAACAAATTAACAAAAACAAATAAATTACCTATTGTAACTACTAAATTATAAGAAAAGAAACAAATTAAAGATAAGATTTATCAAAAAATGTTTCATAGAGTATACTCTATCGAATTTTGTAATCAACTAGATTCTAATCAATGCAGATACTTGGTAGTTTGTTATCATTTGTTAGATCAGAGTTAAAAAAAATTTACCTACAACCAAAAAAAAAAAAAAAAAACACATCTTAGTAAAACCAATACCTTCTCAGCTTCGCATCGAAGCTAAAATATGCTATTTTTGTAAAAAAAATCTTAATATTATATTTTAAATTTTTTAACTTTATGTTGATCTAACTATATAAAAATGCATGAAAAAATACTATTTTTTTATGATAAATACTTAATATATACCTCTTTCATCTGACATATTTTTTTTTTTAATCGGACCATATCCCTTATACAAGTGGTGTCAAAACTTTAAACATGCGTATTGAAACTAGGACTTTTTCAATTTAATTTTTGAAAGTGTTCCAGATATACTGACACTTCAATTTATATCTTAAATTAAAGCTTAAGTAATATACATTAATTTGAAAAAAAAATTTGACCTCTGGATTTGTCTTCATGATGAAAATTCTGGGTCTTGTATTTTATTTTATTTTAAAATACGTTTCAAGATTACCTAGATTTTCATAAATATTATATAAATCTAATTGACATTACATATAAATTAATTTAAATAAGTTCAACTTATTTACATTTTTTTTGTTCTTATAAGTCGAGAAAAATAACTTTGAAATTTGAATTAGCTTATATTGCCATTTTTTTTGGACGACAAATGCGACGTAAAGTTGCTGAGTCGGTAACACATGTCTTACGCGCTTGGGGTACGAGATTTAAACCCTCCCGTGTGAGTGATTTTTTCGCATTTTTTTCTTAATTATTTTTTAATTAGAAAGAAATTTTGAACTCGCTTGATTTGTATTTCATTTAAATTCAATAACTTCAATAAAAATCAAGGATCGCGTCACTATAGTCGCCCTTGTGAGAAAAAATTTCTTATTCATATTAAAATAATTTTACTATATGGTTTTAGCTTCGGTGTCAAGCTGAGAAGGTATTTTTTGGTGACTATCGTTTATTTTCTCTGCTCTCACTTGACCTACTTTTTTTTAATGACATGTCAAATGATTACAATTCATATTTAGTTGAAAATAT